CAATAGCTGAAACCCTGAGACGAGTTACGGTAGGAGGTGCATTGTTTCCTTTAGCATCAGCTGCTGGAAGGTAAACAAAAGACGAGATGATGTGACTTAGCAAGAAAAGAAAACAACTTTTAATTGCATTGCACAATTTATGGTAAATAGAGTTAATGTATGCAAATACTTGTGCTGATGAAAAGATGCTTTTGTGAAAACAAACAGGCATACCTTCTAAAGTAAGAAACTGAGAGGTGTTTATGCATTATAGCAATACAACACTGCCATATTGGCATCTGAGTAAACAAAGATGGGGATGGAGATATCAACTTAATTGACATTGAACAGGCAGCAACTTCGCCAGACATGATAATTTATTGTTTTCAATCAACTGTTAAAGCAAAAAGAAACTTTAATGTTTGCTTCAAGGCACACTGTGCAGGAGTTCCCTAAAATAAACAATATAGACTAATACAAATGTAATTTCTCTAAATCATCACTTGAGACCCTGCCGTTTGCCTGTATTTTCTTATTCTTAAATTATTTTTGCTATGGTCAAGAAGTTTCTTGGCACAGCACTCGTCCAAAAATGTGGCGACAAGATGCCAGACCATGAGCAGCAAACATCCAAGAGAAAGCCATGAAAATCAGAGACATGCAAATATGTCGAGGTGAAACGCCAAGCAGACAAAGCTGGGATCTGGCTTTCGATTTCACTTTCACCAGCAATACTGTTGACAAACAGCAACATGCAATTCCCTTATAGTATAGCTTTACATGAAGAACCAAAAAAATAAACATTCATTCCCAGTAATGGTTTGTTACTGGTTTGTATCTACTATTGTGTACTTATTTGTTGTTCATTTTTTATGTGATTTTTTTTTATTGCTTCCACAAAACAAAAGGAAATAGAGAAAAAACAATCAAGATGAGCGTTCCTGTTCAGCCACACACACGCACAGACATGAAGGAGCACATGCACACACAGGCAAACACAGACACGCAAACTCGCAGACAGACTCAGAGGGTATTCCTGTCTCCTGCACCCTGATGTAGATGGATGCCCCTGGCTGCTGATCCTGAATCTACATTAGGTCATTACAATAAGCAGCGTGGTCCAACCAAGCCCGCAAAGTGGAGGGAGCAGAGGAGCTTGAGAGGAGGACTACTCTCCCAGCCCTGTGGGGAAACAACCTTGACACAGTCATCTGTCTTAGTTACACAGGAGTTAGACCTACTGACACACACACAGAGGAGCCGGGCCAGCCCCTGCAATCTCTGCTGTGTTGTTATGATACTGCATTAAAAGGAGCTAATAGAGTGCATCTAAAAATACTGAGAACATCACAGGGAGAAAAGGGGGTTTGGCTGAATATAATAGATGACAAAAGTATCGGGGGGGTTGTTGTTTCTTGGTCAGCTGCTGGCAAGGGTGCAGCAAGGTTAGATAAAACCCGACTAGGTGACTTCTGACCCCGTCAGGTGAAGGTAATGCGAGGAGGCTGAGGGCGGACTAGGTCACGACGGAGAGACACGCAGAGATGAGAAGTCTGGGGAGGGGTGGAGGAGGGGGGAGAAAAGGCGGAACAAGGGCGTCACTGCAGTGAGCTCTCACTCAGTCACCCCGGGGCTGGCTGTGTTTACGGAGCTGTCAGTCACGTGGGGAGGCCTCTCCCAAGGGACACGGGCCACCAGGGCGATGTGAAAATAATAGCTCCTTCTGTCAGAGCTTCGAGGGACAGGGGTCTGATGGACACCGCTGGGAATTAGAGCCAGCCTCCGGGACACATCCCATCCTACACTTAAACACTTGCAGGATAGACACTCATACACGGGACAAGCAGGAGGGAGAAACACACCAGTATCACCAATAACACCAATATCTATGCTAAGAACCCTCAATACTTGATGTCCTTATGTGCAGTGGTGACATCATTGTGAGGTCTGAGGTTTCAAAAAGTCTTTGCCCTCTGCAGTAGAAGCTTCCTAGAAGGTCTTTTAAATGACCTTATTTTTGCCCAATAATGTAGCTGTGACTTTTTTGGATTGCTAACGACAAAACACTAATGAGTCCTCTCAATAATTGGATATTTGCTCATCGTTTGTCTCCTGGGTGTGATTTTAGGACAGTGCAGCTTGTCAGTGCAATGTCGGCCAACTCTCAAATCGAAAAGCATTCATGAATGGATCAGCAAGACTTTTCAAAGGGCTCACAATTCAACTTAACAATAAGGAATGCCATACGGGTGAAAAATGTGATTGATTACCAATCTCAGAAGATTTTTCGAGTCTCTGCAAGTTAATTTTTATATTGTATTGAAATGAATGGCGATCAATGGCTGCCTGGCAGGAAGGAGATCCATTTAAAAAATTGTGCTACGTTTTGGCAGATAACCACGTGTGAAGTATACACAATTTCCAGTGAATCAGATAAAATGAGTTTGCTTCTAAAGCAAATAGTGCCAGACTTGATGTAAGGCAGCATGGCGAACTTGCGCTCAACTTAACATAAGCAATGCAGTGTAAAGAAAGAGTCACGCCATATGAAAGAGCTTCAGCATGGCCCTCGGTGATGAGCGGGATTGAAAAACCACTGCTCCATCCATAAAATCTGACTTTAAATCAGGCTGAACCACCATTAAAAGGGTTGAAAGACAGCCTAGTGGAGCTCATCATTAGTACAAACACTCAGAAATCATGGGGTAGCATCTGTTTTCTGCACATCCTCCCACATCAATGCTAAGAGCAGTAGGCCTCAGGGAAGGGGGGCGGCAGAGGGCTATTCCCCTGTCCCTTACCATGAATAACAATCTCTACCTTCACGTAATTAAAGGGGACAAACGATGTCCACGGGGCCACGCCAGCCCATCATTAAGCAAAGCAACTATTGCACAGAGAATGCATACACACAGGAGGAGAAATAGGCTCTTCACACACCAGTCCAGGAAGCATAATGGCCATTGATTTGGAGTGGACCAGGAGAGAGCACATTTCACTATATCTATTACACAGATTAATACATGCATCGTTTTTTTTTCTACCTGGCTTAATGCAGCGCTGCACATTTTACACTTTGTTCTCAGCTGCCTCAAAGGCGGCGTCTACTGCCTTTGTCTCCGACGGCAACCCAGACAAGGTGATGTGCTCCTTTACCGATGACCTGGCCTCTGCTGTGGGTTACCACTGATCCCACAGACTGCATACACTTTATAGGGCGCACTACAAAGACTCTTGTAGGCGCATGAAAGTAGATGTTTAATGCATTCTCACTGCTGAGAGACTATTCACAAGAGGTGCAAGAGGGTTTTCATAACCGTACAAATTAACATGCACACACACACAAAGAACATTTGACTCTGTTACAGAATTAGAGCAGTGCAGACATCTGAGACACAGACAGACAATACACACCAGCCAACTGTGTACTCTTCCTCATCCCGTTTGGAATTGGGTATTGACATCAAACATTGATTCTCTGCTGAGCATGCACAAACTTTGCCACTATGTTCAAAGATACTGCATGAGACAAACAAGAGCATGCAAATAACAGCCCGCATCCTGAATCCAAGCGAACGCGGACACACTGCAGAAGTGACCTTGCCATGTGTTTTGGTGTTTTTGATGGATTACACATCCAGTCTCATCATTGTGCTGCACCATAAAAGGCACATTATTGATGATATTATGTATGTTACAGGTAACATGGGGCACATGTCAAGATTGGAGATTGAGGGAATCTCATCCCAAGCAAAATAACTACAGTAGTTAGCTGGGTATCAGTGATATCAGAAGAACTTGAAAGGGACACAGAGGCGGAGGAGGCAGCAGAGGGAAAAAATAATAAAGGGGAGGACACTGCTTTGCGAAGAAAAATGTGGTCCTCAGTAGCCCTTTGCTGCCTCATTCACACATTTCAAACTGCCTCCAAGTACAGGACAGTCCCAAATCAAAAGACACTTTAAAAACCTGGGGAATGAAAAACACCCAAAGTACAGCTCAGTGCCTCCCACTGGGATCCAAGCTGTTTTATGACTTTAAAACCTGCTAAATAATGCAGCACCTCACAGCGAGAAGAAACACAAAATAATAGACCACAGATATCCAACCAAAAGCTGGGCAGTGTGGGTGCCTACCTCCTGATGTAGGGGATGCTCAGACTGTAATATAGAGTTACCATCAGAGCAAGTCAGAGGCAGAGAAAAAATACATTGAAGATATGGAACAAAGCAGTGCATCAAATGTAATCTTTATACTGCACCTATTTTGATTTGTTATTTAACGTGTGTGTGTAATAATACGTTTAAATGTTTTAAACACAATATTTTTCACATTAATATTGAACGGAGATTTGAATTTCCCTTGCTTTTTATGAAAGAAAATCTAAACAATGACAATTCTGTGGCTATAGTGCACAATTTTCCATTTCTCATAAGATGATAAAACCTGCAAAGCTTCAGTCTTCTGGTTAGGCATTTCCAATGGCAACATTTCACTCACATTTGTAACCCGCCATTGCTAAGAGATGTCATAGCCCTATATAGTCCATGATTTTTTTTCTGCCCTTGTAAAAATACATAGTTCGCAAGTTAGGCTGACTAGCTTCCAGTCAGAAAAAAAGTTAGTGCAAGCTAGATAGGTTATCTCTCTGTCATTAGCATTGATTCCTACCACATTCTGTGCAAGTCCTATCCCACACAGGCTCCAACCTCTGCTGGACACTATGGGTAATACTCTCCTCAAATCATGACCATGCATTTACCCATTGAATTTTGCTTAAGTGGAGCCAGCCAATCAGGACACACCTACCCAAATACATGCCCACAGTCTACAGGGTGGCACCGCAACGCTGTCTACCATCCTATTTTATTTCAGCCACAGCAATTGCCCACTGACCCCTGCAGGGCATGGCCATAGCTCTACCCATTTCAGTTGCTTACCACCTGGGTTGGCTGAAACCCCCTACGCTTCAGCTGCAGTGGCCTATGTTATAAAGAAGTAGACAGGCTGTGGCGACTGACCTTTAGCTGTTCAGGATCAGTGTGGCTGGGTCGATGTTATGTCGCAAACAGGGTGTCCATTCATCGGGCTCCACCCACTGTACCCATAGAGTCCACTAGAGGGCGAGGCCTGTGTGAGATAGAACGAAGGTTACAATATTGTAACCCTAGTACTATAGAGCAGGTGGAGCCACACCACCTAGGGGCCCTGTCATGCCTACACCGCAGTGGGCGAATGCATGCTCATGATTGGAGGAATGTATTACCCATACAGTCCAGGAGAGGGCTCCACCTCTGCCTGTGCTAACAACTACAATTAGAACATCCTAACCTTCGTTATGTCAACGCTTGCTGAGTTGGTAGCTCCTGCACAGTCAGTGTGATGCATGTGCCACATTATAAGAAGGAGAGATTGACTAGCTAGCATTAGCTGTTACTGTTTGTTGCTGTCATACGGTCCTATGATGGCAAATCATCACACTGTCAAAAATCATAGCAAACAGTACAGTCCTTTCTCCTCAGCACTACTTTACTCTGTAAATTGAATTTTTAACATATATATATCTATATATATATGCGACTTTAATCTTTGACACAATCAATGTGCTGCCAGCATCTTAAGGTTGAAGGTGAACAACGAAGGCTTTTTGCATATGCAGAATGATTTCTGAGCATTTACATTTGTCTGTCAGAATTTCAACGCAAGTAAGCCTTGTTCACGCTGAGGCAGCTCACAGGCCGGGAGCTTATCGCCCAATGCAGGGGCATGAAGCAGCTTACAGCAGGTGTACAACACAAGCCCCTGGATAGAACAGCTGTCTATCACAAAGGCTTACTCCCAATACATTTCCTTTAATGCTAAGTGGCAAGCAGCTCAGAATTGGCTCCCATTTTATTTTCTTTTTTTAAATATTTGTCACAGCAAAGTGTGGGACGAAGCATCTTAGCGCCGACTGCTACTGATCAAGATCATACTTTATATGGGTTATATTACTGTGAGTTGTGGAGCAGTAAATGCACAGTTATCCTGAGACAAATCATAGAGTACAGTCTCAGCCACATTTTCTATCGCTTCCATTTCACACTTTATGGAGCTGTACATCTGTATGACATTACAGATTTAGGGACAGAGCAAATTCCTCTTCCGTGACAGTGTGCTCATACAGTAAATACAAACCAAACTGGTCGGCAAACAGAACTATCTGACGGCAGAATATCTCTGATAGCCCTCATTAATAAAACAATAGCCGTATCCATATCCTCATAGTTTGAGATCTATTTCTACCATGATGAGAACAGGATAAAGTTTGAGTAAGTGCTTGTAAATTGATTGACACATGAGCTATCAACTAACTATCTGTGCATACACACACGCATACACACATTCAGAGTATATTATGATGATTTTTGTAGAGCAATCTTCCAGGTACTTAACAGCATTAATCTCCATGTGGTGCAGCAGATTGTCTGTTTGATTTACACAACACTGAATCTCCTTGAGAGGCAACCGAAGATATCTTAATCCATGCCTTTGATCACCAACTCCTCTATCCTATTTCCCACCCTCCTCTGCTCTACAGCATTTATCCTCCTCTCCCCGTTGTTGTTGCTGTTGATGATGAAGTGGCTTACCCTTTACTCACAGCATAATATTCTGCTGATGTCCTCAGTGCATGCGAGAGTCTTTGAATCAGTGATTTCTGTTTGTCATGCCGCAAACATGATGATGTAAAAAAATAATTTGCATGAGGAAAAATTGTTGAATTAAAATATAAATATAAAGCTATTATACCTGGGCCCTTTGTTGCCTCATGGCATACACTGTGTACATAAAGAGTAATTTGAAATTGTAATCCGCCTCCAGTGTGTCCCCACCTGCAGATGAATGACAAAATCCTACCAGCAAACATACCCTAACTCCCTCCAGACATGACTAATTGACTTGCCACCGTGGGTGACTGACATGCCATCCAGAGGGCACCATAATGGCCGTGTCATGAGGGAATGATGAGACCTGCCGACAGCTAGCAGCGCTCGACCTTTTGCATGTGAGGTCGGGTGTCAGAGGGAACAGGATCTCCCTGTTGTTGGACCCACAGCCTTGGGGCTCGGTGGGGATGAGCCACAGACGACGGGCAACTGGAGCTTTTCAATCACGCGACCTTGCAGGACAGTGATTTCATTCGGTATAGTGTTGGAATGAAAAATACAAACAATAAAACTGAAATCAATCGTCGGCAGCCTCGGGGTGTTCAAACATCTTGAGGGTGGAAGGGAGATGAAGGAGAGTGATGGTTACTTCCTCTATCATTTTCACCTAACAAAGGGTTATTACTGTTATTTTTTTCCAGTTTCTATAGTAGAAATGTTTTCTGTACAGGGAACAGAGAGCAGGTTTGTAGCATTCTTTAGATACCTTTCAAATTTTTCCATCAGTGAATATGAATAAGTGAGAATGAGCCTTTTTACAAACAGAAAATGCGATTGCACACACAGTGATAATTCTGCAATGCAGTTCTGGGGGGATTTATGAAAGAAAAGTCTGTGTGCCTTTCAAAGAATCTTTATTCACACATTAGTTAGTGTTGTTGGTTTTTGCTCACTGGGTATTAATGTCTTATTCATTTTCTGCCTCCTGTCTTATTTCCAAATATCACTAATCCTGTTAGATGAAATCTATTAATGTTCTGCTTTGGCTGCCACACACAAAATTCCAAGTTGGCTCATAAGCTCCAAATTTGCCATGAAGGCATATCTGGTCCGCCTCTCTGGATTACAGAGATTTACCCAGGCAACCAGAGACGTGTGACCAGCGGTTCACAGTGGGCAAAGTCACCCATCCCACTAACAAAAGCAAGAATAAGCTGCAAATAAAGCAATTTTCATATCTGCCGTTATTCTCCATGATTATGCCTCTAATTTCGCAGTCATTTCTGTATTTTATCTGATCTCAGTTTTAGACTTAATTAGTGCCATTTTGATCCAGTGTGATCTGTCATATTCAGGACGTGGTCATGACAAAGAAATGATAACATACTGACATGTGGAGCAGATGTGCAGTGAAAAGGAGAAGATAACACTGCTGCAGCAAAGACGGAAAATGGAATTATTCAAAAGCAGTTTTCTTTGTAATGTAACAAATGGAAAACAAACACAAAAGAATAATTGATAACTTCGTGGAATTATGTTAATACAGCAGGAAGAGAGTTTTCAAACAAGAAAGCCTTGCGTTAGGAATATCTCATCTTATTATTGTCTGTAATAATTTATGACATTAAAAGACAGCTCCAAAAATAAATCCACACATAGTCGAAGCAAAGCAAAAATTTTCCCTGCAGAAATGGGGGGGCTTTGATAAAGTGAAAGCAAAGCATTGATTGGAAAATCCACCCAACCACCCCCACCATCTCCTCCATCATCACCACAACTAGAGGAGTGGAAAGATAAAAAGAAAGAGGCTCTTCACTTCTGTGGGAAAAGTGAATCAATCTGGAAAGTACCACACTGCCAAGACAGGTAAGACTCACACAATATCACGCAGGGCTGACTACATCACAGTCTGGAGCATGAGCACAGGAAGAGAAAATATGAAGGGATGCCACAGCAGCAGCAGCAGCAGCAGCAGCAGTGTGGACGACACTCCACCTGTCCACAGAAATCCTCACAGGCATGTTGTAAATCTCAGAGAAGTGCAGAGAGTCGGATTAGTGATAATCACAAAGAGGGGGCTCCTCACAGTGGGTGACAGGGACAGACACACAGCACCTCTTACACCTGTGACAACACATGTAGCTGCCTTCTTATTGACTTTGACTGACAGAATAAAGTTATGGATGCTACAAAATACATCATAATGCAGATTATTTTACTACTGTATGCAAAGTATATGTCAAAAGTTTATAACTACCACTATAGCAGTCCATACAAATTAGGAAACTGCTGGTTTCACCATCACACTGGTGCATGCATTAATGCACGATGCCACAATGATTAACAATGTCTAAAATCTTACTTATAATCAAAGAGAGATGCAGCCTCTTGCTGGCTTTACACGAAAGAGACTCCAGCTTTCGGAATTCCTTCTGTGTTCATTCAAACTGTATTGATTCATCGTCCCTCATTGTCCGGTGCAATCCCTGCTGAGACACTGCTCTCAGTGCGGCAAGACAGCGCCGGCTGAGTTACACGCAACCCCCCCCCTACCACCCGTGGATCACTCATTGCCTGCAGGCTGATAGATAAATCGCCTGCTAGCGTTTAGCCTCTAAATCATAATTGTCTTCAGTAAGCATATCTGCATGCAGCATGTGCATTCTCCTTGTCGTTTCTTTCTCTGTGATGCGACAAGCCATGTGGCCAGTTAGGAAACTTTCAGCACCACACAGAGAGGGACAGCTCCGCCAGGAGGGGCCGCGCGAGCGTCCTGTCAGTCAGTCTGTCAACAGGCTGCTTTGACAGGTGAGAGACTCACACCTATCAAATCACAACACGACACGAGGCAGGAGAGACTGCTGTCTTACTGCACACCATATGATATGTACTCAATCTGATAGAATATTTGCTGTCTTGCGTTGTGCACTATCAAGACACAAGTCTCTCGACTCCGGATTTGCGTAAAGGCACCATGCTTTACGCATAGCTTAATTTGAGCTGGTGTGTCAAATCTGTGTCTATAATCAGAACAACTGCAGTCTTTATGAATCACACAGGCAACACTGCACAGCCTCCACACCTGCAGAAAGAGCAAGGCGCACCATTTTTCACCAAACTGCTGCGCGTGTCGCAGCATTCCTCACAGACACAAGTCAAACCCAACTTACCTTCTCCAAAATGATACCAACGCTGCTGCACGTGTGTGTCCCTTAAAAGCAGAAGTGATCCATACCGGCGAGTCCGTAAAACTTTTAAGGCTTTTCGCTGCGCACGGTGGAGAAAAGAAAACCGCGGAGATAATATACAGGCTACAACTGGTGATCGAGCCACTTGAGTTGACGCTGGTTATCCTTCTTTCTAAAAACAAAGCGCTGGAAACTCGAAGCAAAGCAGTGTCCGCTGATAAAGCTTATCCTTCGGGGTGGAAAAAAAGAATATCCTGTGCTGTTATGTATAGTGCAGTTAGTGCAGCGGTGAAGAGCCAGCGCATACAAATCTGTCCATGCTTCTCCTGCAGGGAGCAGCCGCGTCAGCCTCCCCGGGTCCTAAAGCTGCGCTAAACTAATGACACCGGCATCACCCTGTGTGTCTGTCACACTGGAGCCACGCACATTCTTGAAATTGTTGCTCTACAAATGACAACCCCGAAAAACTCAGTTATGCATATCCCAAACATTCACGCAAAATACAAGAATCGTTTCTTAATAAAGTGTTGTCTCACAGGATGATCTGTCTCACCTGCTTTGTTTCAAGATGAGTCATTTTCAGAGGATTCCTGCCATGAAACACTGGAAACAAGCTCACCTGACTGTCTTCCTATCCTTCTAGGTCAAAATTACGGTTTAAGCCTACTGTGTATTACTTGGATGAATCTTTTGCAGTGAATTAATTTGAAGCTACTAGATTTCAAAACTAGTCTATACCTGAGTCATCATGAGGTGCAGCAGGATATCAAGCTAAGCCCACTTGAGCAAACACGCGGGATCACCCTGGACTCACCCATTAGCAGAGCAACTGATGAGTTTGACAAGATCAAGCTGATTATACTCAAGTGGCAGATGTGTGTAGTCCTGTTCATGTGGGACGTTTCTTAAATCTGCAGAGTCACATCCCCTCTAACACAACATTTAAAGGCCACTGCACTGGGATGGCTGATGTCAGTGTCTAAATGTTGGTGCTTGAGTTCCTCCTGCTGGTAAAGTGGCACTAGATACTGACCGTGGCGGATGATATCAGTACCAATCATGCGCGCAAATGGGCAATCCGAACACGCTTCTCTCGTGCGATCATCTGCGCAAAGGTGTCATGGGTTCCGGGGCCCCCCCACACCCCCACAGGAAAGGTTTCAAACTTTGAAAACTCATCCTCTATTATATCATTAATCATAAAGTTATACACTATGGGCTATCTAATATGAATATGCATACATTTCATAATCCTCTAAATTACATGTGCACTGCAGCACAGATAATTGACACTTTCCTCAGACTTCGTGGGCTATCTGACAAATATAACATAATTAAGACATTAACATTAGTTAATAACACCTAAGCATCTTCCATGGCTATGAAGAGACACCACTTGGGCCCTGAAATACCACTAACAACAGCCAACACATTTTCACTCTGACCTCGTCACATATTGACGCTTTGGTCATGGACTTTCCATGTCCACATTCGACGTGCAAGGTACCCTGGGTGCATTGGTTGTGGACGTTCTGGGACACCTTGTCAAGTTCTGCCTGTTACATGCATTGTCTTCTTTTACGTAGGTACAACACCACAAATTGACTTTTTTTTCCCTTCAACAACAAAACAGGAAGTGGTTAGGTTTCAGGAAGCGGACACCGCTCTCTCAGGTGGACCACTCCTGCCTGCCCAACTCGGACTTTCGCTGCCTTAACTTTCGTCCTTGTCCAGCCACGTTTCCCCCTGATGCCGCCGAGTGCAGTTAAACTATAACGGCAACCAGCCGCATATAATGCAGTCGTTAAAAGGATGCTTTTTATTTTTGTTGGTTTCTCACACACAAGTCACTGCCCAAGCGCTGGACCTTAGCAACTTCGGAGTGAGACCGGGCTCCAACAGCAGGGTTCAAGGGAATAAAAGCAGAGGGGGGGGTGCACCTGGGACGCCAGGTGTTGCCGATGAGCCCTCTGGAAGTGTTGTAGGCCTATCGTTGAAACACCAATGACCAAGGGTACCCACCTGATGACCCCAATGAAGCTTTTACCCTCCCTAACCACCCACCGCATACCCCAGCAAGGCTACAACTATGACTCTAAATCGCAAGTATGTGCAACAACAGTTGACCAGTCAAACTCCACCTACTGTAGATTAAAGTTAGGTACATCTTTCTCGTGTTAGTTTCCTCTCTCTTCTGCCCTCAACAAAATGAGGGAGTACGGGGAGGTGGAGTATATGGCTTGGTCTGGTGGGGGAGAGTGAGTTCACCCCCTGGCTCCGCCTTCCCTATGCTCCTTCTTACTTTTCTATCTACCTATGCTCCTACTTTTCAATCCATCTAACCTTAACCCAAAGGCTCCCACTCTGAAACCTCCGGACGGCGCTGTCTCTCCCACTTATAGTCTCAAGTATGTGCATCAAGGGATTGTAACATCTAGTCCTAAACTGGACTTCAGTATTTTCATTTGCCATTGGCTCAGGTACAATTGTTCAAGGGCATTGGAATTCTTGTGTGCATTGTTGGTCACTGGTTTAATGTGTGGCTAATTATCTGTGGGTCACTTACCCATGATGATTAACATTAGTGCTCACAAATCAGCCTATTTACTGATACGTTTCGATTAAATATTTTTTATTTCCACAATTACAGTTCCAGTGTAAAATGATGTATTGATGTTAACATTACCTTTATATGCAGGGGGCATTTTGAGCATATTCAAATTTTAGGGGGGTTGTGTCCCCCAGGATATATTACAATTACTTCCTTGGAGTGACATATTCATACATTTTGATGTAATGTTGTTAACTGACACAGTTCCCTACAAGTTGTGAATGTCTCTGTCACATTTGGCTAACAGAAATGGGTGGCTGGTAATCAGTAGTTGTTGATCCAAAAAGTTCAAATGGCTTCAAGTGTTTTGATCATTTAGAAAATGCACTTCGCAAGTTCAATGTAGACAATACATTAATGCCACTCTAAAATCTCCCGACTTAATCCATATCTGTTTGTAATCTTTCATGGTTAAAGAGGAAGTGTCTTTCTTTCCCCCTATCAAAGGAAAATCTTGCTCGGACAAAAGATTCTATTTGGCTTCAAAATTGAATCTCTATATTGATGCATTTATGTATTCCATCTTCCTCTTGAATCAGTCCATCAATTCATGCATTATGCTTCCTATTTCTTTTTTCTCCCTGTTCGGCTATTCAATGCAAGACCATTTTGCACTCCAGTATTTTCTTTTTCCCCCTCACAATCTCATGTATTTCTATAAGGGTAAATACGGATGTAACCTCTCCCCCTGTCAATCATTGCCGAGGCTGGCTTTTTGAAATGGATTGAGCAGACATTCAGGCTGCTCCCCTTCTCTCCCTGCATCTTAACAGGCCTGTCTGGTGTGGCCAGCAAGGGAGAGAGGTCATGTCCAGAGGGAATGGAGAGCGCCAATTGGTCCTAATTCTACTCACAAACTCATAATCCCACACATGGACCTTTAGAGCCTCATCATCTGCACACTGCATATGGTGTCTGTTCAGCAGGAGCGCCAACTGGGTTGGTGTTTCATGACTAAATTAATTTAAATGCATCGAAGAGATAAGAAGTGCTGCCTGTTCAGTTGTTTAATAACAATTACGCTTCATTATATTTTAGGGTAATTAGTTTCAAGGTCCTTGTATGGAGGTTAACATGACAAATGGCTGTCAATATTGAATCGGACAACTGCATACTGCTGAAAGCATCTCACTAGTAGCAGCACAGGTGTAAACAGTCCCAATATGAACACTGCTGTGAGTCTACTGAGACAAAATCAACTAAGTTTATAATAAAAAAGCCATAAAGAGCAAATGTCTTTTTTCTGCTAAGTCATTGAGTGTTTTACTTTCATTACAGTGTGAATCAGGCAACCCAATATGCCTTCAGCTCCATAAATCTCCATAAAGCATTATAATAAACCTGCTGCTGAAATGCTATGGTTGTGTGAATACTGAATTGATTCTTTATTTTTGTTCTCTCTTTTTGAGCATTCAACAAATACTGGTCACAGAGCATAAGTAAGACATCTGTGATAAATTGGTGAAAATGATTCTTTAATTGCATTTACTAAAGTAACATTAAAGAAACTTTAACAACAAAGATGTTGCTGTTTTGTTGCATGTTGAGGGCAAATGGATAGGCTCATGTCTAAAATTCAAACAGTGGTAACTTGACTTCATAGTCAAGAAACTGCGCTGACATATAATCTAATCCACCCAGCCATCCCTGCACTGCAAAACACAACCTGTAACAGCATTATCAACAAACAAAGTCATTATAGAGCTACACAGAATTATATGAATTGTCTCATGTTTGTAACCACCTGATGAAGAAAGTCCAATATTCAGTCTCCTTCAAGATCTTGTTTTGGTCTCCACGAACTCCTGAGAAAAATATCTGGCTCTTTAGCTGCTAAATGCTCCACTATGTTCACCAGCTAATTACTACCTGTGTCCATCCATTTGGGTTTGGCAGGTAGCATATAGTGTGTTAACCACAGATTTTCACATCCAAATAGTACTGCCTGCTGCACCTGGAAACATGGTTGATGAGAGCTGCGGGCTAGAAAACAAAAACAACCAACTAACAGAGGTTAAAATGGTCCCCAGAACTGAGGGGGAGTGCAGAGTAGGGTGTAGTAATGCACAGGTTGACCCACAATCTGCAGGTCAGGCAGGTTTGGGTAAGCTTTCTCAAAAATATTGCAGGTTGCGGCAAGCGAGCCAAAAAAGTGCAGCATTCTGAGTGAGTTATGAATAACTTGCAGAAATATTGCCTGCAATAGTTGCATGGACCCAGACCTTTGAATCCACCCACTCCACTGAGTTAACTGATTTGTGCGGTATTGTGACATTAAACAGCAGTCCCTCAGTTTACATTTCAAAAAACTACCAGTGAGCACCATGAGGGGACTTGATCAGCTAATCAGCACCATGGGTGGGACTAACGGTGTAAGCTGTTGTCGAATGGTGGTGGAACCAATGATGAATAATAACAACAATGGCGACTGCTACAGACAAGACAGACGCTACTATTGAGGCTCGACATGTCTTCCCAGTTTCACCTGACATCGTAGTTTGTTTAAATTTGCTTCGCTCCGCTCTTAAAACCCCCACAAAATTGGTACGCTGGCATGACTACACATCAGTGTGGACTTAAAATGATGGTGGATACAGTGGCATTCAAAAGTTTCAGCACCCAAGGTCAAAATTTCGTGTACTGCAAAAAGTTAAGTAAGTAAAAGATGAACTGATCTGCAAAAGGCATTAAGTTAAAGATGAAACATGGTTTTTAACATTTCAAGCA